TTTCACAATTTCTAAAATATACAGGGTTCCCCGGAAAGAATCATCCGACTTCAAAAATTTATATTTTAAAAAATTACACACAGAAAATTATAATTCAAACACGAATATAACGGGAAAATGTGTGAGTTTTTGTTTACAAGTGTTCAATATGACTTCCTTTAGATGTGTATAAGAGACAGTCTTTCACAATTTCTAAAATATACAGGGTTCCCCGGAAAGAATCATCCGACTTCAAAAATTTATATTTTAAAAAATTACACACAGAAAATTATAATTCAAACACGAATATAACGGGAAAATGTGTGAGTTTTTGTTTACAAGTGTTCAATATGACTTCCTTTAGATGTGTATAAGAGACAGTCTTTCACAATTTCTAAAATATACAGGGTTCCCCGGAAAGAATCATCCGACTTCAAAAATTTATATTTTAAAAAATTACACACAGAAAATTATAATTCAAACACGAATATAACGGGAAAATGTGTGAGTTTTTGTTTACAAGTGTTCAATATGACTTCCTTTAGATGTGTATAAGAGACAGTCTTTCACAATTTCTAAAATATACAGGGTTCCCCGGAAAGAATCATCCGACTTCAAAAATTTATATTTTAAAAAATTACACACAGAAAATTATAATTCAAACACGAATATAACGGGAAAATGTGTGAGTTTTTGTTTACAAGTGTTCAATATGACTTCCTTTAGATGTGTATAAGAGACAGTCTTTCACAATTTCTAAAATATACAGGGTTCCCCGGAAAGAATCATCCGACTTCAAAAATTTATATTTTAAAAAATTACACACAGAAAATTATAATTCAAACACGAATATAACGGGAAAATGTGTGAGTTTTTGTTTACAAGTGTTCAATATGACTTCCTTTAGATGTGTATAAGAGACAGTCTTTCACAATTTCTAAAATATACAGGGTTCCCCGGAAAGAATCATCCGACTTCAAAAATTTATATTTTAAAAAATTACACACAGAAAATTATAATTCAAACACGAATATAACGGGAAAATGTGTGAGTTTTTGTTTACAAGTGTTCAATATGACTTCCTTTAGATGTGTATAAGAGACAGTCAGTGAAACGCGTTTGAGTGCCAAAGGCGAAATATAAGGGGCTGTCTCTTATACACATCTAAAGGAAGTCATATTGAACACTTGTAAACAAAAACTCACACATTTTCCCGTTATATTCGTGTTTGAATTATAATTTTCTGTGTGTAATTTTTTAAAATATAAATTTTTGAAATCGGATGATTCTTTCCGGGGAACCCTGTATATTTTAGAAATTGTGAAAGAAGCAAACAAAGCATCAGTTCAGTTTTTATTCAAATATTAGTTTTGTAAAAGCGCTGTCACATTTACCTTTCGCACAGAATTACTCTAATTACCAATATATACTTCAATAATATACTCTAATTGACTATAAAATAATCAGTTAAATCACTTCTGTGTATATCGGATGTGCAATTTTTAAATGAATTGCGCAATTATCTCTTAACCGGTCAACTGGTTATGACGAAATTTTTCTTCATACCAGGAAGACATCTCCAATGAGCATGACGACTTCTTTCGTTATGGAAATTTTTAAAAGTGATATGTGAAGGCATTACGTTTTACGTCTTTCTTATCCATCGAAACCCAGCGTGATCATATGGTAACATTTCGAATTTGCACGATTTAGTTTCGAACACTGCTAAAACGCTTTTTATATGAAGCAAGCTATGGGTGTCATCCCTTGTGGAAAGTCATCATTTACTAGCACAGGACGTCCTTCTTTGAGGCCGAAACCATCTAGATTAATTGACAGACATTTTCTTGATTATATACCATCTGTATCTTCAAGAGCAAACGTAATCGAGAGGTGAAAATTGTGTTATTCGAAAGGCTTGAGAAAAGAATCGAGATTTTGGTGTCCTGACTGTAATGGTATTTTTTGTATGCCTCGTTGCTTCAAGAAATATCGTACCACGAATTAATTATTTAAATTTAATTAATTCTTTTTACATTTTTTTGGAAATACTTGATTTATATATTTTCTAAATATGTCATGAAAATATTTTACCAAAATAAATGATCAACGAGCGAGAAGCGATTTTTTAAATTACTTTAAGCGTGATAATATAACTTCTCATTGCGAAGAAAAAAGTCCCGTTGTAAAACGATTTGAACAAAAGTTAATTCCCCTGTTAACAGATTAAGTTATTTGTTATGGAACAAAATGTTTCCAATAAGACCTTGCTTTGTTTCGAGAAGGGCATTTATAACGGTGGCATATCTTGTCTCAAGTGTCTCAAAATTCAAGGGCTCGTGTTTTAAAGGGTTAATATTGTATAATATTGTATATACATATTGACATGTACAATATATTGATCCTTGAAGGACATTTATTGCCGGTTAACACTAGATTTACGGAGCACTATAAGCAACCGTTTTATATTTGTTTATAAAAGTAACAATAAGACACTTAGACTGCGGATCTTTGTGTGTGTGTGTGTGTGTGTGTGTGCATAAATTGAAAGAAATAGAGATTTAATAAAAATGTATTTCTTCTCTTGATGGTTTTAACCCCTTGCCATACTTTGACGAGTCTGATACATGATGGAGATTTCTAGTATATTAAAAATTTCTAGTTTGAATAAAATTCTGATTTCTTGTCATCAGTATTTGAACATTTAAGTAAATGTAGACACACAATAAATATAAATTATCTTTTTTCTTCTTAGAAATTATTACAATCGAAAAACTTCTAATCATTGTAACTATGAAGAAGGGGTTAATACGTTGAGAGTAATATAACAGCGCAGGACAATTCTGTCATAAATATATAAAATCCGCAGTCTAGTTATTACATATATGTATTGTAACACATATATTGAACAAATAACTCAGAAATGTATCTTTACAATTTGTATAATCGTAAATTAAAACATTAGTTTAGAACATTAGACTCGTCATTTTGACGGGTTCCGTAAACCTAGCGTTGAAACTTACCTTCATTAACCATTGCTAAGAGAAAGATCTTAGACATTAATACAAAACGATTTATCCTATTCCTATCATCGAGGACCTAGACGATGCTTTCGCTCTCACAAAAGTTGCGCACTCAATTTGCTGGCAGGCATTAATGCGAGCGTTCATGCTATCAAGAGTGATAGATTCGTCTCATAAACTTCTTATCTAAACTTCACAACAAAAGTCGGAAGATGTTAAGTCTGGGAATCTTGATGGAAAGGCAGGCAACGTCCACCCTAAGTGGATGGATCTATCATTTAAGGATAGAAAGAATCCTTGTATCGATGTCCGTCGTCATCCTTTTGAACATAGGTGTCACGAAACAACTTCAAAAACGTTTAACTCTCATCCGTCCATGGTGTCAATTTGACATTGTTTTCAAGTTTTAGAGTATTTTGCTATTTTTAGGAAAATAGATTTCAGACTTTACGTCTTTTATTCTTTTTAACATGAAGTATATATATAGGTATATATATATCAATATTATATATCAATATTATTATCAATGAAATTGTTAACAATTTCTTACGAAAAGGGTCTTTGTGTGTTACTTTGATAGACATAAATTTCACAAGCAGTGGAACAAATGTCACTAATCTTTTTAGCGAAAAAATATGTAAAAACTATAGACAAGTCAAATCTAATACTTCGGAAAAATTTTGAGAAAAATATTAAATGCAAAAGTGAGTCGATTTCAAAGAGGAAATAAAACAATTATTTTTATTGGTCCCTTTGGAGGGTAACTTTGTTCCTTTAAATGGAAACCTATACTTTTATTTACGAATTTTTAGTTTACGCGAAAAAATAATAAACTTTTGTTTGAAAAATTGTTTAATCATACCTTATCTTACAACGATATTTAATAAAATGAAAAATTTGTTTACTTATATTACTTCTTTATTTATTATTGTAACTTTATTTTTTTATGGCTGTATGCTGATAAATCAATAACAATTGCACTTTTTACGTGGCTTTTCTATAGTATTTACTTATTATATAATTACTTACTTTTATATCTAACATTTTTCCCAAAAATGTGTTGTTTTAGAGATATTTGCATTTAAAAAATTTTCAAATGAACATTCTTGTACACTTCAGTTTTCTTTACACTTCTGTTTCGTGCATGTCTCAAGAGATAGAACAAAGAAATATGATAGTTTCCCTTTCTTTCTAGACACAGAGCTTCAATAAATCAAATAATTCTGTGACCAAACTTACAGAAACCACGTGCAAATCATTCTTCTAGAAAGTGTGCGTACGGTTCACGTAATGTCCGGAACTTCGTACAGAGTTCAATACGTGTGTGTATGTAGTACAGTCGTTCCCTAAAATATTCAAAGACCATTTAGAACGGAGTAATTTTTTCAAAAATGGACCAAATGGCTCGAATTTTACTTTCAGATGTTCGAGGGACTGGTCTAATAAACAATCTCTAAACAAATTTTTGCAAAAGTTCTGATTGGTTCGATCGAAAGAAAATAGAAATAAGAAAATAATGTATTTATCTTTTATTCGATTCGTTCGAAATCGGTTAGCGTTGTAATGAGCTACGAACAATTAAAAATCGCAGTTATCACGACATTAGACTGACAACTGTATAAAATCTGGAGATTTTGACATCCTTTGATGCTTCTAGCATCGTCTCTGGGTTAATCGATTTCATTGTTTAAATTTTCTAAGCTCGAATCAAAAAGACAAAAAGCATCATTGTTTTATGTTCGTCATTGATTCTAATCGACTGCAATTTTTACAATAGCGCTTCTGACACTATAAAAAAAGTCAAAGAGTCATTCGGTACGATGTTGAAAAAATTACCGCGTTTTAAAAGGTGTTTGAATATTTTAACGAGCTTTTACGCCGTTCCTATCTATATTTTCGAAACTTCGCACGTACGTCTTCCTCTTCTTCAACGGAACTGTCGATTGGTGGTTACCAAAAACTTTCGACAAATACAAATATAGGTTTCATCATACTGACCTAACATCACGTAACAGGTCCGGAAAAATCCTTGTCCCAACAGCACGCTGAAAAGTCCCAGAATCCCTTGCGGTAGTTCGGTGAGCAGGAACAGGAGTAAAACTGCCAGCAGCATCATTTTCGTTCTATCAGTTTGCCTTTCCTTGTCTACCCTCCTAGAGCTCTTCTTCCGATCGAAATTCTCTTCGCGAATGTTCGTTAGCTTTTGCCTTCTTCGCTTCGCCTCCAGCAGAACTTGCAGAAGCTTCAATATGACAACGGTCAAAACGAAGCAGGGAAAAAGTTTTATCACGACACTGTAAATCCAGAAATTCAATTCTTTCAGCATATCGGCGTTTTTCCCTGTTTCCGTTAATCGAACGAAGTAGAGGGTCGTGTTCACCGTTTTCCCTACAGACGAATCTAAAAACAACAGAGTTTCATCGACTGGTTAATCGACCAGCTCGTAATGATCGCGAGCATTGCGAAGTAAAACATTAAAGGTACACGTACGGCTTGACAGATAGACGACGATTGACAGATAGCGGATGTTTATGCAAAATTAATATGCAAAGTATATGCACGAAATATGCAAAATATATGCACGACATATGCAAAATGTATGCACGACATATGCAAAAACATATGCAAAACATATGAGAAATAATAAACATTATTTCTTGAAATTTGCATTGCGATATGTAACTATAATTTGTTCTAAACTTTTACGGTAAGCTGATGTCTTTTCTCGCTGAAGATTAATTTGAAAGCTGAAAATTTTCTCTTGACAGCACAGGACATATGGTGCATATGCGTATTTTTTGCAAGATCTTGCATCAATTTCCTCTCTCATCTAATTAATTATCGAACATTTCTTAGAACTGCCACAACAAATCATAAATATCTTTAAAAGCTTAAATTTTTTCAATAAAGCACTTTCGGACATAAGTTTATATGAACTCTTTTTATCTAGTTGACCTCGGTAACAAAGAGTATAAGTTTTTTGGACGCCCTATATGTATCGATAGACTTATACAGGATGTCCGATTTATCTGGAACTCCAGAATATCCCAGAAATTACGGAAAATAGTGAGAAAATGTTTTAATAAAAATTGTTTGGTCGTGTTGATTTTTTTTTTAATAGAATATTGTATTTTTGTATACACTCTCTCTCTCTCTCTCTCTCTCTCTCTCTCTCTCTCTCTCTCTCTCTGTATCATAGTACCATTTAATACGAATCCAATGAGGTGCGATCGATCTCATTTTTGTGTGTCAACGAAAACGTGGAAAATCGTCGTTTAATCGGAGCCATCATGTCGGGACACCTTTGATCGGTTACACTCTACGGGATTAGTGATTGTCTACATGTTCATAAACGTTTGGACACCTTTCGATAATGGCAGAAATAATTTACATCTGATCACACTTATGCGTATGATGTACTTTGACATTAATTATTGATTCCTTTTACGTAATGCTCTTCAACATGTCCTCTATCGTTATAAATACAATTTCGCGGTCATAATCACTAATCACATAGAATGTAACTGGCCAGAGGTGCGGCATACGATGGTTCGATTAAACAACGATTTACACAGTTGTGTTTACAGAAATCACTTCGATTGCACCTCGTTGGATTCGTATTAAATTGTATTATAATGCCGTCTATACAAAAATACAGCATTGTATTTAAAAAAAAAACAATTTTGGAATCTCCGTCATTTTTTCGCCAACAAGAAAACTGTTTATGTCATACGATGACCCCTTCCATGTCAAACAGTTGTTGTTAAAGCATTTTTCCGCTGTCCTTCGTAGTTTCTGAAATATTCTGGATATCCAGATAAAACGGACATCCTATATGTAGAATTATATGCAAAGTGTGTCAAAAATATGTAATATGTAAACTATATGGAACACGTAAAAATGCAAAATAAAAACTATATTTAAAAAATGACAAAACAAATACCAGCCCATGTCTCATCAATTTACCTATATTCTAAAAAATATGCATTTGCATAAAGATCCACTGTCTACTGATTAGGTTCCACAGTTATAGTAGATGTAGGATTCATTAGCAATCTATTACTCAATGTCAATATATATACACAATAATTTCTATTGCAATCATTCTTTTGTTTTCTATTGAAATTTCAATGCAGAATAAATTTCCATTTAAATTTCAATGATTTTTTCAATCTCGAATATTTAAATCTTAATCATGCCATCAATCTAAAATAATTTATAATTAAACTTCAATTACTTTATCAATCTAGAATATATCAGTATCAATAATTTCATCAATGTACAATAATTTGTAACTAGACTTCAATTATTTTTTCAATGGTGTAGAATTTGATGTACACTTTCTAGGGATTTCTTTCAAAAGCAATTCCATTTGAAGTTATTAGAATTCATGACTTTTTGTGTGCCAAAAAAATGCCAAAAAATCGATAGAAAACTCCAGTTACAATCTGGATGCTGAAAGATAGGAGCAAAGGAGAAATGAGACAGTGTGAATTTTCTTAGAGGATTTGAAAGTATTTCTTTCTACGAAAATATGTATTCGTTGGAAGTTCGATTCTTATCGTTTATTCTGAATTTTGGAATTATAAGTACATTAATGTTAGTTCACCGAAATTAGAGATGAACGGAAGTGAGACATGCAAATTATTATTTTATAAATTATAGTAGTTGAAATTTCTGAAAGGAGAATAATGGTAGGTACAGATTCATTAAAACTTTAAATTGAGTACAAATATTTAATTGTAAGGAGAATATAGGGATAATAATTTCTCCTGTTGCGCTCTATACTTATCGCACGTATTCACATGAAATCCCTTGTCAACGAAATCATAACCATCGCTAACATGCGGCGCTATCCTTGCCCAGTAAAACTTTACGATAAAATTAAGAATATTAATTACATTCCTACGTTTGTCTTTAACACAATACGATCCGGTCTGATCGTGCGAAAACTTTTGCGAACAAAAATTACATTTTTAACTATCAAGTTTTTTTTTTATCAAGTTTCGACTATTTTTAGTTCTCCGACATTTCACGAGCAATCAATGACTATTTTTAGTCATCCGGCATTTCACGAGCAGTCAAGAAAATGACTATTTTTAGTCATCCGGACGGTAACGTGTTAAGAGAAAAATTAATATATTTCTATAAAATTGAATACGGCTGGAAAGTTCATAAAAAATGCCAATGCGCTCTTACACAACACATTTTTACGGTCTCATGATTAGATTAGGCGGACTAATCTTTATTCCGCATTAAAGAGATTCTCTACGCTACCTATGTATTCATTTATATAAAGAAGTGAAACGAAAGCTAATTTTAATTATTCAACGTTAATACAGGAAATGCCGTGCAGAGCAATAAAAATGAAACAGACACGTTAACGGAAGATCGTAACGTACTTTCGCAGTACGATTTTCAGAATATCTTCCCTTCGTCTCTCTTCGCGACCTCATTACTGTAAGTCATTCATCGTAATGAAACGCGCGCGTATTACTCCTTTGAGAAATTATGCCCGCTCCTATTGTCGCATGCATTATTCAAACATTTTATTAATTACTCCTTATTTAACTGGGTTACTTTACTCACCGCCAAGAGACTCCGTTTGGCTAACTGTCATCCCGTTTGAATCCAGAACCTCCACTTTCTCTCTGACTTCCGTCGTGATGTATAAAGGTACGCAAAGCACAGGGCAGAAAGCGTACGTAATCAAAATCGCAAAAATAGTTCTTCTGTAACTGCACCATTCTCTGTTTTTTTTCGCAACCGCCACGTATCTCCAAACGGCCAGTATCAGAGTTAAACAAATTGAAATTGTATGGCAAACCTGCAAAAGTAAATTGGTATCCGGTGAGTTACAATTTGTCATTTATCATGGAAAATAATGCAGCGGATGTGTAAAGCACTCGTACACCGATGATCAATTTCGCCCAACTTTGTGCAATTAACCAGGGACCATGACTATACACTGCGGGTTTTTATGGAAAATAAAGGTGGTCCACATCGGCTGCGAGAGACGGAAACGAAATAAAAAGTTCTTTTCTCCATTAAACATTTTAGTAGACATTCACACATTCCACAATATTTTCCAACTGTTTTAATCAGTGAGCCGTTTTTTTTAAATTATATATTTTATAAAATGGAATCAAACATACGTAGTAATTTACACAATTTTTAACAAAATTGCAACAGCTACCTGGTTAAATTCTGCATACTCGATTTATTTATAAATTCATGAATACGCAGTCTCGTTATAATCAATATGAAAAATATAATCATTGCATAATTATTATTTTAATATTTTTATTTCAAAATACTAATAATATTTTGGTTCAATCTGTTTGGTTGGAAAAAATAGTTATATATGATCGAGTATGTATGTGTGCTTGACGAATAGACTCTTGATTTTATACATTTATCATGAAAATAAACGTTTAAAGAATTCGGGGACGTTACTGTATTATTTTGAATTCGTTAAGATTATTAAAAAATAAACAGCTCCCCTGTGCTTCGCAACGAATGCGGACAATTTTTATTTTCCATAAACATTCGCAGTTTATAATTATGTCCCTGGTTAATTGTATAATGAGATTGATCAGTGTACGAATGCTTTGTACACCCACTGCAGATCTGCAAATTAATATCCTATTTTTTTTACTGTCTAGTCTTTATTTTACTAAACAAGTTGCTTTGATTTTATCGAGTTCTCGTACTCTGTGATCACCGAGTGGGCGATCAAAGCTAAACAATTCTGTAAAATAATGGCCTCGTACACGTTCAGTATTCTAAATAAACACATATTAATAGAAATATACGAAGTAAAAAAAAATTACAGGCAGCATTCGTGTAATTTCAATACTATGAATTCAGATTCATGTCACAATGAATAGAAAGTAATATAAATTAAGTCCGTTACAGAAATGTACTTTAGTTATCTTAATTTATGTACCGTATAGGATCTCCCCTTTTTATTTTATAACAACCGCAATGTTTTGGGGCATTTTGAATTCTCAGCTAATGGTGCTGTGTTATCCTAACACATTTTATTTATATTTTATTTTATAATAAAAATTCAATTTTCGATGTTTTTATAATTTCATGCAACAGCTAAGAATAAAATACAATTTATTATATTCGAAATATCATTCGAATATAATTTTATACGAAGAAAAATTATTTGTTATTAGGAATAACTTTTTGATTTACAGATTTTTTAGATCCAATATTATTTATTATTTAAATGAACTTTGGAAGTACAATCGATCTTTCTATAACATAAAAGTTTCCTTTCCTAAACAATTTTATTAATTCATGTCTGAATAAATCTCCGTCTAAATCTGCGAACATATATGTATATAAGACAATTTTAATGATATATAATGAACAACAAATTTCCCAGATTATTTATTTTGTTATTCATTATCGTATATCATTAAAATTGTTTATTAATCAGTTATAAGTGCCAAATAAGCAACTATCGATTAAAAAGCAATACTTAATACTTAATACAATAATTAATATATTTGAAAAGCTATCCGAATAATACTTTGAATAATTTACTATA